AATTTATCGCTATTCGTTAGTTTAATAATACTTAATTTTTATCAAAAATGAAAGTTGAAATTTACGCGTTCACAGAGAATCATCCATTTCGGACACACACATTATATTTGAAATCATACTAAGAAAAAAAGATTTATCTGACAATATTTTACTGTGAAATCACTCATATCTTACAATTACAATTATGACGCATATTTCTACAAAATTGCTTTCTACAAACTCTATTTTATAAAAGAAGTAATATATATAATTAAACACTAGCGCCAAATGAGAAATTATATAAGTTACACTATAATAATAAAGTATTCATCGGTATAAGATCGACTTCGCTTTGCGTAACAAATCGCAAACTTATATAGAAACCTATGTGAAACTGTACTTTTATGGACTTAGCTTCTGAAATACTCGATGATGTGAAATGAACCTTGCTTTGCGTGAAAAGCCGAAAATTCATATGCAAATGTTTTTATAACTTGTAGTATTAACCAATCACAAAAAAACTAGTTGCTAAGAGATTAGAAACTCTTTAAGATGGGAATAGCAAGAGAGAAATTCGATCAAAACAACACGTTTCTCTGTGAAACGCATGCGATCCGTAACTAATAAGACTATACATCAACAAGGACAAAAAGCGGGAGAAAAGAGAGTAGAGGATGATAAAACGAGATTCAAAAGATCAGAAGAAGTGGAGAGTAATAGTAAAAGTGGTAGAAAAAACTGTAGAGAGTATTTAAAGATATATAGTCGTGATGCTTTCAGACAAATTGTATATGGACGAGTTTGAAGAGAAATTCAATTATTCTACAGAAGTAGTTAAACATGTGACATTTGCTGATATTAACAGATAGCAAGAAACATATATACACAGACATACACACTCAAATAATTATAATTAGTGTGAACTAAGAATAATTAATGTAAAGCGCGGAAAATGTCCGATCTTATAATTTTCTCTATTTTACCATTTTTTGTTCATATTTTGTCGATTTTAAGGAACACATATTTTCCTCGTGTTTTTTATATAAATATCTTCAACTCATCAACATGCCTCTTTATATTTTAATAGATGCGAAAGGTCTTTATTCCGAAAATCTTTTTATTCCGTTATTTATTTGCCACCCGAGCATTCTTTAGCATTTTCAGCAGCGTCGTTTGATTTCGCCAAAGCATGCCTATTGCTCATCCTTTGCATGGCTCTCTTTGCGAAGCACGGAAATATCTCACTCAGCCGCATCGTTTCTGGTTTTCTTTTTTTTCAGGACCGCGAATTTGTAGATATGGACGCTCCGCACAACGGAGCCATGAGGAGAACAGGATCGCCATCACCGGTGGGCTCCCCCCAACATAGTACTACAAATTCGGCGATGAACCTCTTTCGTGCTTGCTGCGGTGGACGTTGTCGTCGTTACGAGGTACGCGGTCGTCATATACTCGCCTCAAATACCTCCATAAGCGAGGCCATACCCTCGTCCTCTTCCCACTCTTATCCACCGCAATCCGATAGATCGCAAGTCTCGCAGGATCCGGCAATCGTGCCGAACGTCGTGTTTAACGTGCCGGGCGACATTGACCCGCAGCGTTTGCAGAGCGCGAGCTTGTCCAACGAGTACAACGAGACAAGGGTGTGAGCCGGGACCGGTATATATTGGTGCGATTCTATAAATTCTTGATCGGCGACAAAATTGTTTGCCAAAACTCGATTTTTCAGAGACAGGAAAGTCACGACGTCCTGTCATTCAAAGCGTCGAATTGATTCGTGATTTCCTCGATAATAACGTTGGACGCTTATTGTCGAGTTGATGATGCAAAATCCGACTTACTCGGAGGTTTCGCGCAAGTCTTTCAAACATTGTGTTCCTCCGGTTTTCGAATCGTTGAAAATCGCCCACTTTCAAACACGACGAAAGTAATTCTTATCTCCTAAGTCTCTTCTGAACAAGAGACAAATTGACTTTACGCGAGAGAGACAGGTGAATCCGGAAACTTGACTGCGATTGCAACCAAATCGCGAGCAAGAAATCTTAATTAAACGAATGTCCTGAATAAGTGCTTAGCCTCCGGATTGTAACACTTCCGTCGCCGCGCTAATGGAAATCAACTGTTTCTGAGTGAATGAACGACTTGACTGTAATTAATTGCTTATTCAAATTCTTGATCTCCTTCTTCGGGATCGCTTTAATCTTCTCGGTGAAAATTTATACTCGGTCGATAAGAAGAATATGTAGCTGCGATACGTGTCGCGAGTTGAAAGAGAAGATGAGAACTGCACGTATTCATCTTCCCGAACATCGCGGAAATTCTAACTTTGTTCTGTTTAATACACGTAGTTTTTTTTTCAGCTGAAATATTAATTATCATTGTATAACGTATGTTTTTTCAGCACGGTTAAAATCACGAGAAAAATAAAATAAAATTGCAATCTTTACTTAGAGACGCATCAGTTATTTCGTGTCTCTTTTTACTTTATTTTCCGCGAGGAAAATCTTCTATGCTCGTATAATACTTTTCTATCAAGATTGACACAATGTTAGGGTGTTATTGTGATATGTTTTTTTTGTAAGATAACAATTGTATCAGAACTTTGAGAATTTTAAATTTTCATTCAAAGCAGTGAACAACTGTTTAAAACTCTCGTGTTAGCATTTTTTGTGTGAAACCGTCACGATAAGAGTAACTAAGTAATAATAAGGGGGGGAAAGTTTTTATCTTCTGTCAAACGAAGAGAAAGTTGAGATTCAAAGTTTCTCTCTCTAGCACTGCCGCTAAGGATTCGAATTCTGAATTGATGCCTTCAAGAATCAGGCGATTATCTCGATTCTCTTTTCGCTCATTCGCTCGAACGAGATTTATCGTCAAAAGATGTCCAGATTGACCGACCAATGAGACGTTCAGCTTATGAGCATTCCGATCCGCTACGTTACTGCTGATTAATCAGGATTGCTCAAGTTACACACTGATCAAACAAAACTTTCTCATTAAATTGTCTCATTAGATGAACGACGATAGAACGATAGAAGTCGTAGGTGTATTATAGAAGCGTTCCAGCAAAGAGTAGTAAGTAAAAAAAAAAAAAATTTCATAGCGTATATGTTGCTAGTATTAAAATACCAAATTCTAAATTGATGTCGTAGTTATCAAGATAAAATCATAGCACAAATTGTATCTTTTTCGCTCTTTTTTAATGATTATTTATCACCTAGTTTTCCAATGTATTTCTTTGATGTAAATTTTACGATTAATATATTTGTCATTTCTCATTAGCAATTTTGTGTTCCGTTGTTTCTCTTTACGCAAACTTATTTATAAAAAAACTGCCGCAATGAAGCGTCTGATAATCGTCACGTTACGGCGAAAAAATCACGCTTCTTTCTACGATTTTCTCTTCCGACGCGGCGTAGGTTTTAATTTTCTCATGTGTATTTTCGTTTCCTAGTGATGTTGCTTTACGACACTTAAAGTTGTGATCATCTCGAGCATTTGCGATGAATAAAATGGCTGCGTGTCTGTCTTCTCGCGTTATTCCTTCAGCTGCCAATGACGTCATATGTTTTCGTTTCATCACTTTGAATGATAGTTTCGGGTGTAAAGCAAATAAATTCGTCTTGTTTTGACGCGCTTTTCTAAATCGCTTTGACGAAAATTGCAAACAAATTCTCGTTAATATTTTTTCTTGATTATATAGAAGTGTGAACTCAGCATTTCCTCCCTTACACTTTTCTTCTAGGAGAGATGATCCCAAAATGACTCTATACATTATTATTTATACATTAATATTTGTTATAGAATACTTATATTTTTCGCAATATGTTATAAATTCGGTACAATTCTCGTTTAAATAACTTTTCTAATTATCTCGCGCGTTTTTCATATACATATATTATAAAAATTATCTTCCTGAGTAACAATAAAAGTCTTAGCCTTAGTAGTTCATTGTTTATTAAAAACTTATTAACAAAAAAAGTTATGTCAATAGATCATCGTTTTTCAACACCGTGTACGTTTCAAAGGTAAATGTGTAATGTATATGTTCAGAACTATATGTGTTAAACACAAATATTTAGTATATACCGAAACTTATTGTTTTAGTTTCTTCGATCATACCTTTTCGCTCGAACAGTGTGTTATACATACATATAGTTCTGTACGAGACGGTTGGATAATTTAAAGATTTTGTGTTTTAACATGAGATTTCCTCGAATTTCTGAATATAACACACAATTTTGATTCTTTGTGGAATTTCTGTATCGTATATTATATTGTGTGTTATGGTCAAAGCCCAAAGCACGGACAGTTCTAGGATTGACTCGTCGCGGAACAACCAAGCGTCTTGATCAAAGTCCGAAATAGTTTTTTTAGTGTACTTTTTAGTGTATGCTACTATGTGTACGCAGTGACATATTATAGCTTAGATTAGGTTAGGTTAGGTTTTTACTTACATTCTCGGGACGGAAAAGACAGGGGGAAAGACAAAACTTATTCGTCGTCCACACGTGTACGATAGTATACACAGTTTGTCCGGAAAGTTCCCGGACTGATTTTTTCTAGCGCGGGTAAGCGGCGCTATCGAGCGGTCAACGCTGGAACTACTTAGTATNCCTTGAAGTGTAAACTTGTTTAATAAACCATATCTTTCATTTTCGATTTTTAATTCACGTAGTCCGGGAACTTTCCGGACAAACTGTGTATGATACAAGCAAAATATTTTATACGTCTCAAATGTTTATTCGGGGTTTGACCAAGACGCTTGGTTGTTCCGCGCATTGACCAATCTAGGAACGCCCGTGCTTCGGGTTTTGATCATAACACACATATATATGTATACAAGGTCCGAAAATTACTTTAACATCTCTTGTAGGCAGGTAGAAGTAAAACTTAGTCGAAAAGTTCTATTTTGCGAAATTCGCAATAGTTACCGAGATCTTAATTAAACAAAGATCCGCGAATAAGCATCCATCGGCGGGCTGTCTTAAAGTGCCATTACACGGCGTGTGCAGTGTTCTCAGTTTTGACTCTCTTACAGCGTGTTGAAGCGGTGAAAGGGATGCGCACAACAGCAGTTAGAAATACAGTTAGAACTCGTTGCTGTGTTGTGCGCATCCCTTCCACCGCTTTAGCATGCTGTAAAGGTGCCATTACACGGCACGTAGTTTGACGAGTCTGTACAAGCTTCACGCCGCTCGTACAGGCTCGTCGATTTGTCCTTTATCAAGCTCTGATTGTCCTCACGACGCGTTAATTCGCGAACTTCGCGCCACGGCGCGCCGCTTGTAGTGCTGTGCGAACCATGGTGATGTCACAGTCGCTATACACGCACAAGCTACAAACCTATCCGAGCCTGTGTGAACGGATTTACGAGACAAAAGCCTCGACAATGGCGCGTTTCTTTTGACTCGTGTCACATTTACCGACATTCAGCGGGAAGAACGCGCCGCGCCGAGTCTTGAACGCGCCGCGCCAAGTCTTGCCGCTCTGGCCCATTCACACGACTCGCAGCGCGGCAAGTCCCGAACCAGGCTCGCCGAACCACGCGCCGTGTAATGACACTTTTAGATCGTCGCAAGCAGAAATTGTTTGCCAAAAACTAAAGTTTGCGTTTCTGCAATCTTGCGACAGCCAAGAAGTATCGAGCTCCTTACTTTCGTGTTTTTCTACTCTTTGCTGATTGGCTGTAACTTACGACTAAAGGTGCCATTACACAGCGCGTGGTTCGGCGAGCCTGGCTCGCGACTTGCCGCGCTGCACTGCGAGCCGTGTAAATGGCGCGGCAAGACTCGACGCGGTGCGTACTTTCCGCCGAATGTCGGTAAATGCGACACGAGTCATCAAAAGAAACGCGCCATCGTCGAGGCTTGTCTCGTGAATCCGTTCACACAGACTCAAACAGTTTGTAGCTCGTGCGGGTAAAATTTCTTCAGTTATCGTTCAGCGCTCAAAAAAATTAAAGCGGTGCGCTGCGGCGCGAAATTCGCGAATTAACGCGCCATAAGAACGGTTAGAGCTTGATAAAGGACGAATCGACGAGTCTGTACAAGCGGCGCGAAGCTCGTCGAACCACACGCCGTGTAAGAGCCAGTCTACAATGAAGATAGTAAGGCTATTATTATTATTTTTTGGTGAAATAGCAACGGGAATAACGAAATAGGCATTTGCCATTTCGCACTGTCTACTGTCTTACTGTTAGCCAATGAAAGACGCGTGTTAAAAAACGCAAAATAATTACTTGTATAAACAAAAATAAAATAACTTCAAGAACCTTACTCTATTCTTACAACGTTACTACTTTCATTGTAGACGGCCTTTAATAGCACCTTGACAACGATCGCAATGGCTTTGTTTACACAGTACATCTTTTTGGTACGCGAATCAAATAAAATTTGTTTTTAAATGTATAATTTTTTGTGTTTACATCATT